GTAAGGCATGGATTAAGAAAATGAAACTATTCTATAATTGTATACATAAAGTCATTATAGAATTGTACAATGTTCCTGAATAGTTTTCACCATAATTTTTTTAAAAGTATCCCAACTTAAATAAGATATGGGTCTGTGGTTTCTGAAAGAAAATAAAGAAAAAAGGACTTCATATTGCCTTCTTTAAATTTTTTGCCCTAACATGCCTTTGTTTAAGATGCTCAGATGTGCCATTTAAGGGTGTCTAAAACCAAAAGAAAGCAGTTATTTGAGACATGAAAAGTAAAGAAGAAAATAATGTATATTAAGGTGTTCCTCCCCTGGAGAAAATCTTGAGAGTAAAAGGGTGCTGAATGGAAAGCCACATGTCAAGTTAACATTAAGGGCTCATTTCTTATGGGAACAATCAGAGAGGAATAAAGGAATAAAGTTTGAAAATGTTTCTATTATTATCACTTAATGTATTAATCACTAGTAAATTAAAATGAAAACCAGAGTTCTTAATGACTTAAGGCAGCATAAGAAAACAACCTAAATATAAAGGTATTTTGGGAGAAAAAAGTTGGCTTTTTGACTTCCTATTTTTATCATTCTACAATGATTCTATCAGTGTTTATCAAGTACCACAGATGGACTTCTCTTCTGAAGAGCAGTAGTATTTGAAAAAAAGAATCAATTATGTATAAAGAACCTAGAAAACCCTTTGTCAGAAGTGTTGGCAAGGCAACAAGAAATGGGGTTTCTATGAAATGAGGATAAGCCAAAATAAGGAAAATTCAAATTGGGAATGCAAACACAGATAAACATAGGCTCAGGTGAAGGACTGATGCCAATACATGGTTATTTCAGAGAAGAATGTGTGGGGAAGTCATTCTAAAAGGTTGCTTCAAAATGAGGAAACCATTTTTTTTTCCCCAGAAAAAAGGCAGATTTGTCCTTTCTGTAAGGCCTGGACCTTCCAGGCAAATGCCACTCTGAAAAAAAAAATTTTTTTTCCTTCCCTCGGTCATCAGACTGTCCCTTAAATGAGTTGCAGATCACAAACCTTAAATCAGAAATAAAACACTGCAACTTTATTAGCGTGCAGTGATTTCCCTTTATGAGTAAATGCACTGCCTGAATTTTAAGTGTGTGACTAAAAGTGTCCAGGGGCATGAAGCCCAGCCAGAAACGCCTGCCTGGCCCTCGCTCTGTGAGAGCAGGATAAAGAAATGCAGCCCGCCTGGTGCTTGCCCAGTGCTCCCTGCTGGGAGCTGACCTGCTGTCCCTCCTTACAGCAAGAGCTGGGCCCAAAGCCTTTAATACCCGTGGGATGTAAATTAAATGGAGACTTCATCTATGACAATTCAAAGTATTTCAATACTTGTATTAATCTAACATAAGTTTATGGATCTACATTTTAAAAAAAGGAAATTTATATGACAGTGATAAAAGTACAATTTTATCTTACCAATTCTTAACTGCATAACTATTCTGTAGTTATACAGTCATGAAGTTTCATTCATTTTTAACTGTAAGATAACCAGTTGCTCACAGATTTCTGTTCAGTCATGGTCTCCACATATTTGGGATGGCCAGTTTAATTTTCTCCCTCCTTTTCAATTACAGATGCAATCGTTCTAACAGTCGTTTGTTTTATTAGTTCCACTGTATTTTGCCTTTCTTTTGGTTTAGAAAATATCACTTGAATTAGGAAAATGTTATTTAATAAAAACCGGGACAGTGTTTCTGAGATTTAAGTTAATACTGTTACTCAGCCACTAGGCTATGCTAAAGGATAGCTCATTTGTTCAAGAACACGGCTGTCTACCAGCTATCTAAAAAGGCAAGCAAATTAATTCAAAAGCTGGATATGAATTATTTAACCATTGAAAATCTAGCTGGTAATTCATTTAACAGATTTATGTGAATTAGTTTTTATAATTACTTTTTATGACATACTCCAAAAGAATAAATGAACCCCTTTTTAAATTTGTTTTACCAAATATGTCTTGTGGTAATGTCTAATTAGATTTTAAAATAATGAAATCATAATTATGCTTAACTTATCCAAATTAAATATCTATTTTCATTTGCATATAGTTAATTCTATTTTTATAAACTATAAATGTACACAGTCATGGACTGGTTAGTTATCAGAAATATGAGCTTTAAACCAGGTATATATTTTTCTGCTTCAAAAAAAGGTCATGTTAAAATGTAAACAGCTGTGAGTCAAGCACCATTTATTTCACTTATCTTAGGCATTTTTCACATTAAAATTATACTCTGTTCTGTATAAACTATGCTTAGAACCCTTTCAGTTTCAGCTTACTCCCATTCTCACTACTTTTCCCTGAAAACTCTACAGAGCCCACTGCTTTCACTACATCATCACCATTATTCACATCTGTCCCTGATCGCACACTGTGGAGGCACTGGGGCTCAGACAGGTCTGAGAAGCTCACAGTCTACCTGGGAACACGTACACAGATATAGGCAACACCGATAAAAACATTTATTTTCCAAATGAGTAAAACATAGAATAAGTGTTAAAACTGTTCATATGAGAAAGATATACTGTGCCCGCCTTATTAAAACAGAAAATAGGTTTCATGACTAAAGCCCAAAAGGATTCCATAGGCTACTTCTGAAAATAAAGGCCCATAACCTTCCTATTTAATCTACTTGATAACTCTATCTGTAAGAGTTTGCCATATTTTAAAGATATATTAATTTTAACTTGAGTTGTCTCTTTTTTCAATTATTCATGATGCATCTGTTAATTATTCATTGTAAGATGAATTATTGACAGAATACAATTCAGTCTGAAAGCAAAGTGCTATTAATCTACTTTGTGCTCCTATTCAATTATTGCTTTGGCGTATGATAGAGCACTTGGGGGAAGAGATTATAGTTAAGTTTCCCATCTTAAATGTAATTAAGTTCAGTAAAATCTATTTATGAAGCACCTCAGAAAATATGAATACAGTTATATGTAGGTCAAGTTATGTTTTCTCACATACAACTGCACGCAAGGGTGATATTGCAAATATTTAAACTTACCACTCAGGCACTGAGAGGCCTGAACTGGTGGTAAAGCACAGTACTGTCCCCACCCACAGGGAGAAATTCTATTACAGCAATGCTGGAAGCTTTCGATTTGGTGGATCGTTTTCATTATGCAGAAAGGCCAGTATTAAATAATTTGTGAATGACCATTACAAACTATAACTAAGAATATTAAGAAAGTCATAATATTCTTAATTATGCTCCATCACTTTAGAGAAGTAATAAAACTCCCTAATTTCAAATTTGCACCAAACTCGCCATTATCATCTGCAACTCCCACCCACGTATATGCTCTGTCATGTGACATTATGACTCACAACTCCTGCCCATATACATGCTCTGTCATGTGACTGGAATGCCCTTCCTCCCCACTGCTCACCTGCTGAACTGACAGGTCAGAGTTCATAAAGGCCAGCTGTCTTAGGAGATTTTCAGGACTAACTGCAGCCGGAACCACGCGGATGTCTCCCAGCTCTCAGTCCTCCCTTACTGCACTTTTGACTCAGTGTTAGAATTACTTGTATTCCAGCTTGAATCCCTGACCAGCCAGTTCTTGTGGGCCTTGCTCGGCATCTCACTGAGGTCTGCTCTGGTTTCAACAGAGTAAGTGCTCAAGACACACTGCCACGCCCATCACTGGTGAGCAGGCAGGTGGGTGAGTGAAGGAATTCTAAATATTAAGTCCCAGGAATTGCAACTGCATTATGAGCTGAGCTGCAGTCTTTACTTTGCATTACACATTAAAGAGGCCATCCTGTGAGCTACCCAGAGTACTGTCGCCCTCTGTGAGATCAGTTCTGATGCTACATACATTGCCCACCCACTTAAGAAAAATGGTCACATTCTTTCCTAATGGCTAACACCTCTATGTTGGGATTTGGTTGTAGTGAGTCCTGAAGTGTTAACCTGAGAAGGATCTGGGTTTGTTAAAAATCCGTCTCATTGTACTCAGGCGTTCAGCCCTGTTACCTCACCAGCAACAAGGGAAAGCGAGCCCTGGCTGAGATGACCGGCCCCTGGCGACCCCAGAGGCAGCCCCACAATTCTGTTTCCTCCAGGGATCTAGTCTCTCTGTTTCCTCCAGGATCTAGTCTTTCTGTTTCCTCCACGGATCTAGTTTTTCTGTTTTCTCCACAGATCTAGTCTTTCTATTTCCTCCAGGGATCTAGTCTCTCTGTTTTCTCCACAGATCTAGTCTTTCTATTTCCTCCAGGGATCTAGTCTCTCTGTTTCCTCCATGGATCTAGTCTTTCTGTTTTCTCCAGGGATCTAGCCTTTCTGTTTCCTCCACGGATCTAGTCTTTCTGTTTCCTCCAGGATCTAGTCTTTCTGTTTCCTCCAGGATCTAGTTTTTCAAGTTTTTCATGGATCTAGTTTTTCAAGCCCATGGATCTCACCCATCAAAATGTATGAGGCTCCTCAGTTATACCTGAACCACACTTTAGATTTAATATATTAATATAAGTTTAATCTTAGGGATCTGAATGTGAAGCTTGTCTCAACTGGTATTGTATCTTGAGAAATATTACTTAGACATGACCTCCATATATCACTGTTCTTTATCAATATAAGTGATGTGTAATACCAATGCAATCAAGTGCCAATATTATGTTAGCAATGCAAACAGTTGTATTGACTAAATAACGGATCTAGTCTTTCTGTTTCCTCCAGAAAGTTTCCTGGAGGAAACAGTCAATACAACTGTTTGCATTGCTAACATAATATTGTTGGCTTTGAAGGTGTCCATAGGTTTAAAAAAATTAAGTTGGCTTTGAAGGTGTCCATAGGTTTAAAAAAATTAAGTTAACCTATGTATGTCATTGGTGGGGGGTGGGGGAAAGAAATCCATTTAAAAGACTGATATCCTGGCTCTCTTAGTAAATTGTCAAAAGTGATACACTGAAATGAAATCCAATAATCCAACAGAAACAAATCAGGCACACACTCACCCACTATGTTTCATATGTGGCGGTTTATCCATTCGCACTGCCAATTTGATTTTTAAGTCAGAATCCTGGCTATTTTTTGGAACTATCATCCGGTGCAACTCAGCTGACTTGGAGCTATTGGAAGTTGGGTACAATATCACCTGTAGGAGACAAAAAGGAAAACATTTAAGTGCATAATACAAAGTGCCTACGGGTTGGCACGGAAGCCTTTTCCTGTTTGAAAAGCAGGTGCCATTTCCAAACCTGCCTAATATACCATTTCCCTCCAACGACAGCAGACAGGTTCAACACAGACTCATTTTGACAAAGATGTGTTTTCATATTATCGCATATGTTTCCTTCTTGTCCTGGCCAGGTGGCTCAATTGGTTGGAGTGTCATCTCCTACCCCAAAAGGTTGCTGGTTCAAATCCTGGTTAGGGCACATTATTAGGTTGTGGGTTCCATCTCAGGTTGGAGGGCATATGGGAGATGGTCAATTAATGTTTTTCTCTCTCATATTGGTGTTTCTATCTCTCCACCTTTCATCTCTCTCTAAAAATCAATAAAAACATATTCTCAGGTGAGGATTAACGCCCCCCCCCCAAAAAAAAAAATTCAAGTTTTCTTCCTGTATCACTTCATAATGAATTAACAGCACCATGACAATCGTTGAATTGACAGTTGAAAAATACTTAATAGACATCTATAATTTCAAGAACATTCTAAATTCCTCAGGGCTAAGAAGTTCAGAAAGAAATATGCTTTGAAATTTTTAGCATGCTTAAAAAGAAAAACCAATTATTTTAAGCAGCAAAAATACTCCTTGTGTTTCAATATTTTCACTATGAAACAGGGTTAAAGAAAATCAACTCAATCAGAGGTGGAAGAGACTGAGCAGAGCACATTTTTCTGCTCTAGGTCAGTATCAAAGAGGAGTTCCCCCCCCACCCCCTGACTACATGTTTTCAAAACTGTAAAGATGATGTTCAATGACTAAAACAAAGTAATTAGTTTTTTATAAAATTGACAAATTACCAAGTGATTACTTCACACCACCACCGGTCCACAGAGCCACCCCAGGAAGGAAAAGCTTCCGCCTCAGATGTGAGGTGCCGAACAGATTCAACAATGCCTCTTGCCCTTTTACGACAGTCATGACACCATTTAGACACAACCAATACTCAAGGCTTCAGGTGTATTTTAAAGTGGGAACACTAACTTCTGAAAGGAAAAAATAATGACATGCAGTGCACTGTATTTTATTTTTATTTATTTTAAAAATAGATTTTATTGATTTTAATCAGAGAGGAAGGGAGAGAGTTAGAAACATTGATGAGAGTCATCCATCAGCTGCCTCTTGCACGCCCCCTACTGGGGATGTGCCCACCAGCAAATTACTGGCCCTTGACTGAAATCAAACCCAGGACCCTTCAGTCCACTGGTTGATGCTCTATCCACTGAGCCAAACTGGTTTCGGCAGTGCACTGTATTTTAAATAATTCTTACTTTAAACCAATGTGAAAAGTAAATAAGCCTGAAATTTCTATGTAGATGGAAGAATTCTAACATGCTCTGGTAATGGTACCATGATGCTAAAGTACAACCTGACTGCTGAATTTAATGTGCTCTGCCTCCCACCCCCCAAAAAAAATCTTCATTTTTATGTGTAAGTGGAATATTCACTGAGAAATCTTCAAGCGAGGCTCTTTTTCTCTCTAGGAAAGGCAGCATGGTCCAAAAAGCTTCTCATACTATTCTCAACTTCCAAGGTGTTAAATGTGCCTACTATTTTGAGACTTTTCTTAAGCCTGTTCTAAAAGCCACAGCTAAATTGAATCCAGCATATTTGTACCCTTGAGCATAGAAAGGCACATCCAAGAACAGATTAAATGGCAATTGTGATGTTTTGAAAAAATTATGATCACATTCTAGAATAAGTTTTGTGGTGGTTTTTTTTTTTTTTTTTTGACTGCTAAAATATCTGATGTAATATTTTACAGATTCCTTCTTAAATAACAGCAAATGAAAGTAAGTTGAAACTTTTTGGCTCAAACCAGCAGACCAAGGGATATCATTATAGTTTAGAAGATGAGTCCTAAAAATAATCAAAGAATAAGAGCTGGATATCTTCTGGAGCTATCTCTGCTACTTGACCCGGTTATTCCAGAAAGCTTCCTCTCCTCTCCCCTTTCCTTCCCTCTCCTTCCCTCCCTCTATCCCTCCCTCCTTCCCTCCTTTTTCCTTCCTTCCCTCTTTTCCTTCCTTCCTTCCTTTTTTCCTTTCTACCTTTCTTTCTTCTTCCCTCCCTCCTTTCCTCCTTCCCTCCCTCCCTCCCTCCCTTCCTTCTTTCCATCCAGTATTTTGACATGACTTTATTCTTTGTAATTCTGCTTTCTATGTTTATACAAAAGTTGGTTTTGTTCCAAACTCTAAAAGTCCTTTTCAGGAAGGGAATGTTTAAATTAAAACTTCTGACAATTCCTCATCCTCTAAATGCCAATGATGGGTTAATTAAACAAAGTCCCAAAACAACTAATTGCAACTGAACTGCTAATGAAGGATCATCCCAGGATTGAATGCCATCATTTCTGCCACATTTCAGCTCTCTGATGGGTAATTCTAAATGAAGTCAGTGGAAGGATCAGCTACTTATCTCTGTTCAAATAAACAAACATTTGCGTGCTCACGATGTGGAGACACACAAAGATGGAAAAAATATAAATGGCTCAGACCCTCAAAGAGCTCACATACCCTTTTTATCAGATCTCAGAGCTCAGATAATATCTGTTAATATTACTTCCTCCCATTGCCCTTCTAGGGCATTATAACCTAGGGGTTATAGCAGTTTTCTGATTTCATTAGTGTCTGAGTTTATTCACCATTATTTGTTTGCTTTCTCTGTTCTGTCACCGGTGAAGCTAATTCCTGTGTTAAGTGTTCTCCATTGGGAAGACCTGGAAATGGCTCATTTTTCTGGACAGTCTCTGGTTGATAAAGTTATAAACACTGGCACATGTAACAAACAGAGGTTCACAGATACGAATCATTCCTGTATATCACAGATCTATCATTGCTAGTGTTTCTAAATCCACTGTTTCAAAAAAAAAAACACCATACTGGCAAATAAACCCCTAACATAGCCTTAAATACGTCCTGTAAACTTCCAGGTTCCCAAATGGCACAAGCAGGAAGTGCTCATAGTCCTTTTTATGATGTAGCCATGGATGATAGCAGGTCAAGGAAGAAGCTCTCATTGCAGGTAGCCCAAATGATCCAGGAGAATAAAGGACAAAGGAGTTCTTGAATCAAGTGAACATGAACACTGTCAGGGTGTCTTCACAGTGCCTGCAACGACAGGCTCTCACTGTTGTCACTGACAGTTATTTATCCCTCTGCACTTTCCACTCCACCATTATTCAAATGGGGGCCTTCATTGTCACTCTCCTGCCCCTGCCTCACTGTGGTGTGTTGGATTTGTGCTAGGACAGGCGGGGAGACGAGGTGGAGCCGTGGGCGGTTAACTTGAACTTCAGTGCATAGGTCACAAAGCTGCAAAGAGCCCACAGCTGGACCTGAGGGAGATGGTGGGCTTTGGAGTGGATGTAAGGACAGGATGAGACGCTGGGTTGTTTCCCTTGTGGGGAAGCACACATATGTGTAGGAGAAAGGGTAACAAAGTCCTTCTCCAGGGCTACAGGGGTGAATGAGGGCAGGTCATCTAACTGGCTACCAGACTCACGCTCCCACTGGTGTAGAACTGCTACAGGAAGCACAGAGCCGGCCAAGGACGTATTCTCCAGCTCCCCTGGCATCTAAGTAGGGACATGGTTCTAGCTAACGGAGTCTGAAGAGGACTGGTAAGGGTCCCTTTGGGGAAGGATGATTCAGATATAGACAAGCTTTCGCCATCCTTCTTTATTAATCTGCTAGCCAAGTGCAGAGGACTCCAACGCTCTTCAAGATGAGAGAGCCATCAAATGGAAAAGCAGAGCCCCGGTTCACCCACCATGGGAAAGAAATCTACCCATCTAGCAGGAACAACCATACTAATCTGTTACATAGGTGCTATTGCTTTAAGTGACTGAAACGATGCCATTTTCTTATTACAGCATTTGGCAGTATCTTCACTAGAGCATTAACAGAGTTTTGCTGCATAAGTCTTACAAGTAGATATGTGCTTGGGGAATTTTATTTCACGATAAATAGTTCTGTTTCATAGGACTGAGTTCATGTTCAGAGAGGTGTGGCTGATGTTGACTGTACAACAATTAAAATATTTAAAACATAAAAATTTACTAAGGATTCTTCTGTATTGTAGGATTGCATCTAAATTAAATTATATCTCTGTACAAAATAGTTAGCTTCTTATATTACTTAGCAACGTAGGTTTTTTTTTTTTCCTATTCTTTTATCTTAACCTTTCTATTCACACTCAGTCTTCTATTTTATTTTTGTCAGCAACACTTTAAATGTCTTGTCACTTAGCATGACAACACATTTTATGTTTTCTTATCTAAAATTGAGAGCTAATGTATCTTCTTCATAATAAAATGTCAACATCGCTTGTCATCTCTGCTAAGGTGTAATGAAAAATATGAAATGGTTTTTTAGGTTTTGTTTAAAATTCTGTCAAATTTAATTTACAGGGAGAAAAAAAACCTTAAAAATGAAGTGTGAATATATGTATATTCATAATATTTAGAACATATGGGGTCCAGAAAGATCTTTCTCTTAAAAGGAGACTTATGCAATGTGCTTGGAGATGGGGGTGGCTGGGGAGAGGTCAGTGGGGGCGGGGGGGGGAGGTGAAAGGAGACTCATCGAATACTTTAAACAATAAAGAATTTAAATGAAAATTTAAAAACATAAAATATAAAGTTGTTACATTATAAAAAAAAAATTTAAATTTAATAAATAAAGTGGGGTGAAGTAAAAAATAAAAAATAAATAAAATATTCTTGCACAAGCAGTCACTTCTCCACTGTTTTCCTTCCTATTTAGATAAATTACTTAAAGCCAAATCACATGCATTTGTGTGGATATAAAAGTAATTAAACTCTGTGACCGATAAATACATGTCTTTCTAAATTATTTAACAAAGACCTGAAAAATTAAAAAACTAGGGGGAGGGAATCTAGAGGAACTGACAGGGGGTAGAT